TTCTGCATTCTGCATCAGTCTCTTATTACCTGAGCCATGCGTGCTTTGCCCCGAGTACTTTGGCAACAAAGCTGATACCCAGCTGACACAGATGTGATTCTTTTTATACAGAAGTCCTTCTGATCCTGTGTCTGAGACTGAAGAATTCAACTCCATGATGACTATAATAAAAAGCAAACTTAAGAGCACAAGGAGGTTTGTACACTAGGTTAAAACAATGCGATCATGCTCACACCCCCAACTCCAAGGAAGACCAAGTCTGCATCATGACTCTGAAAACAAATTCAGACTTGCCAAAAAAATAAAAATAAAAATGGAAATAAAAGATCCCGGGCTTTGAAGTGAGCTGGCTTACTCAAATAAAAGCCTCTCTGCCTTAGGGTCTCATTCATCAGCTACCTGATGAAGAGTTGGAAGGGCCTCAGCTGCCAGGTTTCACCAGAATCATGTATAATGATACTGAGGAGGGTTGTGGCCAAATTCACTCCTTCCTAGTCTCAACCTTTCATCTCGCTCAGCCCACTTCCTACAGCCTGAGGCCTATGGGTAACCCAGACTGGATCCAGCCCCTCCATATAATTACATATTTGACGTTCCTGCTCAGCCTAGGACAAGGTAAGGAACAGAGGCACCTAGGATGGAAATTTAAGAGGCCAATCACTCTCAGGGTCACACAGGTGTGTGCTAGGGGTCTCTCTCACCTCCCCCTAGACCGGGCCCTGGGAGGCAAACCTCAGCACAGTAAGGGGTAACTGAGAAGTGCCTGAGGGAGTTGAGGTCACAGAACAGGAGATACAGAGAAATGACTGCTGTCCTCAAATATGTGAAGGGTCTTCACATGACAGATGGAGTGCATTTATTCTATGTTATTCCAGAAGACAACAAAATTTGGACCACCAGTAAGTGGAACTTAGTAGGAAGCCAATTTCAGCTGAAAAAAAAATTACTGTGATTACAATGGCTGCTAGTCCCTGGTTATCCCAGTGAAGTACACAAGTATCAGCACCATAGATGCCATGTGAAAAAAAGTCAGGAAGCATTTCAAGACGAAAGGACCATGTATTCCTAGCTTGTTAACATTACTATGGATTTAAGTTCCCCATCCTTAACCCTGGCCACAGGGAAGAATCGCCTGGGGGCATTTTTTTTTTTTTTTTAAGATTGATTGATTGAGAGAGAGAGTGTGTGAGTGAGCAGGGAGGAGCAGAGGGGGAGAGAGAGGGAGAAAGAATCTGAAGCCAACTCCACACTGAGCATGGAGCCCAAGAAAGGGCTGGATCCCACGACCCTAATATCTTGACCTGAATGGAAACCCAAGTCAGACGCTTAACTGAGTGAGCCACCCAGGCACTCCCTGGGGGCACTTTTTAAAAAAGACTGGTGCCTGGGTGCCTGGGTGGCTCAGTTGGTTAAGCGACTGCCTTCGGCTCAGGTCATGATCCTGGAGTCCTGGGATCGGAGTCCCGCATCGGACTCCCTGCTCAGCAGGGAGTCTGCTTCTCCCTCTGACCCTCTCCCCTCTCGTGCTCTCTATCTCTCATTCTCTCTCTCTCTCAAATAAATAAATAAAAAATCTTTATAAAAAAAAAAAAGACTGGTGCCTGAGCCCCAGCCCAGTCAATTATATCAGAATCTATGGGGTTGGGACCTGGGCATCAGGGTGACTTAATATACAGCCAGGATTGAAAACTGCTCTTGATGACAGTGCTCAAAAGAAAAAGATTAAGTGGTTTGCAAAAAGTTTGCTTTTCCACAAAGCAGATGACCAGTTATAAACAAAGGGTAATCTACGTAAATTGCATTTAAAAAATCTCTGACCTCCAATTTTTTTTTCTTTCTTCTTTTTCTAATATGGCTACTAGAAAATTTTTTTATTAGTTTCAAAGGTAGAATGTAGTGATTCATCAGTTGCATATAATACCCCGTGCTCATTCCATCAAGTGCCTTCCTTAATGCCCATCACCCAGTCACCCCATCCCCCCACCTCCAAAATTGTTAACCAAATTATAAATCTCATTCCAAGTGTTAATCTTTTAGATCAACAGGGCCTTTAATATCATCCGTGTTGCAAAGCCAGTTTGGTCGTGCACACTCAGGTTCTTTTTGGTAGATTACGGTAACTACCAAAGAAGTTTAAGGTAAGAATTAGCCATGCCTGCCCAACTTGGTATGAGATACAGTAACAGCAAGTTTCAGACTAAATTCTGCATAAACAAACATACACTGGCAAGCAAAAACAGTTTGTTAGCTTGTCCCATTAGCTCAATGAAGTCCTGACTGGACATCCTTTCAGGAGCTCCAATACACCCCATATGAAAGGCTCATTGAAGGCAGCAACATTCCCTGATAGGGTGTTGAGCCCTGTGGGAGGTGCACTCTGTCAAAAATACACTTGAACAAAGAACTGGACATGGCACTGATCTAAGATCAAGCTTCAGGTACCCTTCCCTTCTAATGTTAGGTTAGTTATACACCTAGTAGATTTTTATCACCTGTTCTTACAATGGGAAGCAAGGAGGTGTCTCTAAACTATTTTAGCCAATCAACATATTTAGAATATCTGTAATTTCACCAATGAGATTTCATTTCTAACATTTATTATGCTAACTTAGAAGTTACTTGCTTTACCAATAAAACCCATTTTTGACATTCAGAATGCTGTCAAAACTTCTGCTGTAGAAAAATAGGTCACTGAAGAATTTGTAGTGGCCAGGACTGTGGCCCTTTCTGATACAATGCTACTTGACCATTCAACTTACTATTCTTGGCAGCATGCTAGCTGACCAACCATGTCTAGAAGTAAAACTTTAACTGCACATATATTATGTCACTCAGATTATAAATTACAGCCCTTATAGCACAATATACAGTCCTGTATAATATATAGCCTTGTATAACACAAGGCCCATTTTGTACTAACTATATTGGGCCTGATAACACTATGAATGTGAAAGAAAATATTTCTTGGTAGCTAGTGGAAAACAGAAACTATGTGTATATTGAAGTTATCTGATTTATTTGGAAAATGCTGATATTGACAGGGTTTCTAATACATGGGCCTGTAAATGAGTTCTTTCCATAGCTTAGAATACAGACGAACTCATGCTAAGTAGCCTCTTTCTACTCCCAGAACCACTGTAGAACCAGGCCTGGGCTAATAGCAGTGAAGTTCCCAAGGATAAAGGATAAAGAATAAGTGGCTTTTCTAACCTCAATTGGTTATTTGCACATGATACATGCATCTGTTACTTCTCTGATTTAAGGAAGTTAGATTGATGCTCTTAAATTAATGTTCTCTTTAATTTTGGGGGGTCTTAATAAAGCCAATTTGTAATATATACTTTAGTGCACTGCCAATTGGAGAACATTTCCGAAAAAAATCAGTAAAATGTATATTACCTTATATTTTTGTCTTCCAAAAGCAAATCTACATTTTCTCCACTTCCTAGAAGCAGATGTTCAATTTTTAAGATTTTTTAAAAACCAGTATTTACTGAAGATAAAGCGATATACAGACCAGAAAGGATGACAGAGAGACATCCCTTGACAGACATTATGCAAATTTCAGAGTGCATATCAAACTGAAGAGGAAGAACAGAGAAGCAGAGCTGCCCATGACTTTTTAGCAGGCCATAATGGCATGGTATCTCTTTAGAAATTGCCATTAAATAGCTCCCCAAAACATTTTCAGACAGAAAGTAAAAATAGAAACCAGCATTTAACTGTAAAACAGGCTAGAATGTCGGAGCAGAGCAGCGGCAGAGAAAAATGAAACTTGGCCTTTTTATCGTTGGTGGTAAGTGGACACAAATGTATCAGGCATGTGGACACAAATGTATCAGGCACATTTTTTATGGGAAACAGCAGGGTTTTCAAGGTCAGCTCCAGAAGATGTTATTCCTTTCCTGCATTAAACAATGGCAGCGTCATTTAGGGCTAAGTAAATCTTCCCAGGGCTTTGTTATGACTAAAGAAGCCTGACTTGTGGATGCAAGTTCAGGGTTAGGTGGTGGGCAGAGTCCTGGACTGCAGCTTCTATTTGAGTCTGCCATTACAAAACCACTTTTTTTTTTCTAGTGTTACAAGACCAAATCATTTCAACCTTTCCCTGGGTTTTTATACGTGTCACTGTGCTGTTACATCTATTCTCTATAAAGAGAGCAGTACACTGAAAAAACCAATTAACTCTGGAAAATAACAAAGGGTTCAAGGTGCGACAGGAGCACCAAGAATTCTTACTGGTTCAAAGTCCCTTGCGCAGTAAAAACCAATGATACGAAATATAATATTTAGGTCCCTGACTTTTTTTTTTTTAATAATATCTCAACTGCAGAACAGCCAACTAAACTCGTCAATGGCTTGGGAGCAAGGCAAACCAGAACATACTAGAATATACTTCACTGGAGATTTCCAGGCACGTTAAAATGTGTGATTCAATATATATAAACACACAACGGAAAACTTGATATTTGAGGTCAGCGGGGCTGGACTAGGGTAAGGCAAGACAGGAGTCAAATTTAACGGGGAGGGGCAAAAAAGTCAGTAATCAAGATAAATAATATTTTAATGTTTTTAAAATTCAAAAATAATGCAACAGAATTCACGATGGACAAAATATCACATTTTTTAAAAAGAAAGTTAAGCAAAAATGTGCCTTGTAGAACGACATAAGAGCCAGAGGTAAAAAGAAAAAAAAATCAATAATACCGATTCTGTCTTTATTTAAAATTTTGATATTTTGTTATTATCGTTTTTTGAATTAATTCTGAGCTTTTTTGTTGTTCGGCCTCATTGGAACTCCCAAACATTTTGCCATCCAGTATTATGCCTTGTTCAGCTGACTCAAGTTTTGGCCCTGGGGGTCAATACCAGTTCCTAGAAAGGCTGTGGGAGTAAATCTGGCCTCCTGGGGAACAGGTGCTGTGGGCCGGATTGTCCCCAAGGAAAGCGCTGGAGGCGAAGGGTGAGAGCTCACTCCTGCGGCCAGACCCCAAGCCTACCTCGCTTATTCTGCGTGCCGTGCTTCTTGGCCAGGGTGAGTTCCCTCTGGATTCGATTTTCCAGGTACTCTTGTTTCTTGCTCAGCATCTCTTCGGTCTCCCGAAGTCGGGCCAGGGCCTCCTGGGGGCTTGGAGCAGCTCGGCTTTTAGAAGAGCCTCCCCCTTTAAAGAACTTGCCCAACTTGCTCATGGCTGTGGATTTGAGGGGTGAGCGGTCCCGGGAGTGTCTCAGGAGCTCCCCGGGCCGCGTCGGGGTAGCAGGTAAGCGAGATCGTCCTCTGGTCTCGGCGCGGGGGGCGGGGGGCGGGTGGAGGCAGAACTAAAAGGCAGCGCTCCTGGGAATCAACAAGTCTTCGGGGGCAGGTGACACAGACTCCTGGGCATTTCCTGGCGGCCGGCTGGGCCCCGCCCCTCGGCGCGACTGGGGCGGGGAGGGCACTGGAGTCGGAGGTGCCTGTCCCGGCCGGCGCCACGCGGCCCTCTGGGAGTTAAAGGAGAGCAGGGGGAAAGAAGGTTGAACAGATTGACAAGAGTGCAACTAAGTTGCCGCTTGATCCACACTGAGGACACACACAGGGTTGAAGGATTGACTAGTTGGCAAATGGCTCACAGAAAAGCGAACCAATTTCCTAGGGGTCTCCTCTGAGTCCTGAAAGTGTGCTTTACCGACCCAGATTAAATTAAACAAACAAACAAAACTTGATTCCACACATGTGTTTTTGCTTGCGAGTGTGTGCGAGCACAGTGTTTCTGTATTCAGGTCTCTGTCCTTGTGAATGAGAATATTCAGGTATGTTCGTGTAGCTGTATATTATGTGTGAGGCAAGGGCTTCCAGGCCATTTATCTGACACTTTGAAGCAGGTCTGTGGGCAAGTGGTTTACTCTAGGAGCAACTGGTCTGACTGGGCTTGTCTCTGCAGATATAGACTCTGGGCAGACTGATGTGTGCCTGGCTGCCAGTTGGCATGGATCGATTCTAGATCATCCTCACATGGCTTGAAGTGGGTGAAAGATGGTATTCCTCTTTTCCTAATGTCAGGACTGAGTGTGATTGCTGCATTCAATTCTGTAATTAAGCATCTGAAGCTTTCAGTGTGGATGTTGGTGTATCAAAAACCTTTAATGAAATGCCCTTGTGTTTGTAAATATCTTCACAAAGACACCTAAGAACAAAAAGGAGAGAGCATCCTAGAAAAAAGAAACATTCTGTTCATGCTCACTATCTCAGTCCCGTTTATTAGAGCTGCAAGCAAAGAGTTTGGTAAGATGAAAGGACAGCAGTAGATAATGATTATGGATGATGTAATACAACTGAAAACCTGTGCTGAGCATGCTACAAAGATATGGAATATGGAATTGAGCCTATGTTCTAGTTTTGAAGGGCTAGTATATACTCCCACATAATACACCCCTATTTGAGCAACATTACCCAACATCATCAGAACCTATTTGTGATGTCAGCTAGCCACTGATTGTTAAAGGGGAAAAAAGCATCCATTACTATAACAAAGACACCGTGATACCCACGATCAATAACCCAATTTTGTCTGCCATTATAGTAACACAGAAGCAGCAGGTTGATCCATTTTATCCAACATTGGTGTAGCCAGCATCAAATTTTGACAAAGAAATAGAACATTTTCACAGGAGGCTCACTGGTATAGATCTTACACACACAAACATGTGAACTTATCATTTCCCAATAACTCTAGCCAGCCACCTCTGATCATTTCCTGCCTGGCCTTGTAAAGCGCTTATGGTCTGTGACACATATGTTACTATAATCTCGTATGTATCATAAAATATAGTATTGTATTTCATTATTATCTAAATATTTCATGAATCTGTCTCGCAACTTATTTTCCTGCTTAGCTTTTAAGTCCCATGAGAGTTCAGAAGGAGCACATATTTTGCTATGGTTCCCATTGCTGGTTAGTTAAACCACTCTTTATTAAAAGTATTCTATATATAAGGTACTAGAAAGGTAAGTATAATCTGCCTTCTAGGAGCTTACCTTCTAGATAGTAGTAACAACTGCCATCTTTTGAGCACTTACTTTGTGGCAGGCACACTACATGCATCATTAATAACCCCTATATAAGCCACAAGAAATAGATATTGCTATTTCTATTCAACAGATAAGGAACCAAAGGCTCAACTGGTAACTTTGCTAAGCTCACACAGGCAGTTAGAGGGTAAGAGATCTTTCTATTTTAAGCTTATGGTCTTCTCATTATTTACATGATCTTCTTTCCCTCTATGTGGCTTGGTCCAGAGGAGAAACACATTAAGTACTTACTTAATTAAATAAAATGAGGGATGAAGAGGCTGGTATGATGCATTAATATTAAGGGATCCTCCAAGCATTACTGAATTCACTGAGGGGTATATTTGAAAAGAACTTCTCTAGTATAGCAAAACTTTCTTTTGTAGTTCACTAACAACTACTTCTTGTTGGGAGAACATTGAACAAGAGGAACAGAGGACTGAAAGTTATAATGAGGAGTTGCTTACTCATCCTTCCCTCCATGTTTTCATTTAACAGATATTTATTGAGCATTGAGCATCCTTTTGTTCCAGGCATTATGTTAGATGTTGGAAAGACTATTAAGAACAAGATAGAGGGGCACCTGGGTGGCTCATTCGGTTAAGCGGCTGCCTTCAGCTCAGGTCATGATCCCAGAATCCTGGGATTGAGTCCGGCATCAGGCTCCCTGCTAAGCAGGGAGTCTGCTTCTCCCTCTAACCCTCACCATGCTCTTGTGCTTTCTCTCTCAAATAAATAAATAAAATCTTTTTAAAGAAAAAGATAGAGATATTTTATAGTTTAGGGGAGAAGATAAGAGTTAAGCAAATTATCTCACAAAAAGTAGACTTTATAAGCTAAAATTCTAATAAGTTCTAAGGAGAACTTAGACATACAGAGAACTGTAAGAACAAAAAGTAAAGAAAGCTGAGCTTGTCTTAGGGATCCACAAGAGCCAAACTGCGGAAGGAGTCATGATGTCCTTCAACAGACGAATGGATAAAGAAGATGTGGTCCATATATACAATGGAATATTACTCAGCCATCAGAAAGGATGAATACCTACCATTTGCATTGACATGGATGGAAATGGAGGGAATTATGCTAAGTGAAATAAGTCAAGCAGAGAAAGACAATTATCATATGGTTTCACTCATATGTGGAACATAAGCAATAGCACGGAGGACCATAAGGGAAGGGAGGGAAATCCAAAGGGGGAGAAATCAGAGAGGTAGACAAACCATGAGAGACTCTGGACTCTGTGAAACAAACTGAGGGTTACAGAAGGGAGGTGGGGTGGGAGGATGGGGTAACCAGGTGATGAGTATTAAGAAGGGCACGTGCTGTGACGAGCACTGAGTGTTACACGCAACTAATGAATTGTTAGCTCTAAACTAATGATGCACTATGTTTTGGCTAACTAAACATGATAAAATAAATTTTTTAAAAAGGTGGCCTGAAAAAGTGACATTTAAGCTGGAATTTGGATGATGAATAGAAGTTTCCTAGATGTAGAGAAGGAAAGTTGGTATTCCAGGATAAAGAATCATTCATCCATTCATTATTTTTCCTGAGTACATACTATATACCCAACACAATTCTAGATGCTAGAAATTCAGCAGTGAAAAAGAAAGACTAAAATCCATGTATTTTTTGGAGTCTACTTTTGAGTTAGGAGAAGACAGGCAATTAATTAATTAAGAAAGTAATAAAGCAGGCAGGGCTAAAGAACTAAAATTTTAGACAATATGTGCAAATATCTTGAATGTGAAATATTAGGATTTGAAAGAAGGCCAGGGTAGCTGGGGTTTGGAGACAGAAGAGGACAGTACTGTAAGACTGCCTTTAAAGGTAGGCAGAGTCCTGATCACATAGGGTCCACATGATGGACTAAGCATCATGTATTTTATCCAAAGAGCAAATGAAAATCAATCAGAAATTAAAACAAAGGATTTAGTCATTAATTTATAATTCAATAAAAAATCAGTTTTAACCAATTTAATGTGTAGAAATGCATGTGGTGTGCAAAGCAAGATACATTTAAACTAAAAATTATTCCCTTCCATTAATACATAACCTCAATAGGGAAAAGATAATACTTGTAAGCAAGTAAACCATCCAAATATAGATTAGTGTTTAATCCAGCAATGGGATATAGAGAATAAATTTTTAAATCAATGATGTGGAAGCTGAAAATAACACATTTATCTTCATTCAATACTCATCCTACAACTGTGGTTTCATAAAGAGTTCTCAGCATCTAGTGTATTTTTCATTTTCTAATCTCAATTGATCTAAGTCAATAAGGAGGCTGCTGTTCAAAAGAATGATCTTGTTCAGGATGATTTACCATGGTTAAGATGACAAAGGAAATTGGAAATTTATAGATCTGTTAAAAAGACCTAGATGTCAGGCTAATTGATACATTTTGGCCACTGCTTGAAATTACATCCATTTTTAGAATGCCAAATGAATTCTCTAAAGCAACAGAAGAAGAATTACCCTTTAAACAGACTGCAGAATCATCATCAAATAGTTATTTAAGCAGCTCAACAAGCATGTACACATTCTTTTCATCAGCAGTTCCTTTTGTTTCTTAGAACCAAATATTCATTGTATATAATAATCACAATAATGAGTACAAAAGTAGCCCTTGTGAAAAAATAAAAATTTTGCAAAAATAACTTTTATTGCCCTCATTCATAATGAAGATATATGGTGCCTGTGACTCAGTTTTGCCTGCATAGCTCTTTATCCATGTTTTCCCATATCTCTGCCTATCCCTGATCAGAAAGAAGTTACAGAATCTAAGAGTTACCAGACTTGGCTGTAGAATGTTTTCTATACCAACTGCTTAATGGATATAAAATGAGATGTAGCCCTCCTACCTCAGTATCACCCTTATTGCATAATCTACCCTAAGTTGATTCTTATGCCTTCCTTTACCTCCAGAATTTCCTTATACCTGAGTGCAATCACATGAGATTTTGTATCTCATCGAGGAACACACAAATTGTTTCTAATTCAGCTCCTTCCCTTCTCAAATAATGATGCCTGCCTTTTGCTCAGGCCAAAAGCCCTGGAGTCATCCTTCACACCTCTCTTTCTCTCACTCCATCTAATCCATCAGCAAGCCCCATGTGCTGTAACTCCTAGAGAAACCTGATCACTCCACCACCACTAACCCTGCTAATAACCTGCTCCCAGCCACTCTCATCTCTCAGCTAGATATCACAGACTTCTA